GAATAACAATGCAGAGGATTTGTGTATTTAGGTTAATATTTTCTGTAAAAACATGTAATTGTTTTTAGTTGTTTATCATAATTATAATGATTTAACTGTAAAATATAAAACCCCAATTTCATTTCTTTGTCATAAGGGTTTGATAATGACATCTTAAGAATGAATGGAATCTTTTTAGATACATATATTGACTGATTGGTATCTGTAATTATGAAATAATGAAAAGTCCAATAGTCTGTACTGGTCAGAATCTATACAGAACCACCCAGAAAGTCAACTCAACAAGGTCACACATAAAAACAACAGCATCCTGCAGTGCCACAGACTTCTTCTGGAGAGAGAGTGTATGGTCCATTAGTAACAACTGATAACAAACTTCTAATCAACACACAAACGCTGATCACAGAGGAGAACATTTTAACAGATCGATCCCTCCAACAGTCAGCGAGAGAGAGAGAGATCACAGCCTGAGGACAATACCATCCAATCCAGTTCTTCTGGCCTGATTTTCTCCTGCTAAAATATTTATGTTCCTTACAAGAATCGCCATGTTAACGTCTCTTTGCAAGAGGGGGGAGAATCAATATGGAGCTCCTCTCTGTATAAGCATCTCAGCAGGAATCTCCTTTAGATGCATTAATGAAGCTTTATTAAGGATTTTGATCTCACCCGCATGAATAAGGACAGCTTCCTCTCATAGAAGCTGACGATAGCACTGATGTCAGGTGAATTTTAAACAATATCGCTTATATGTTGGACAGGGCTGTAGACTGCAGAGTGGTATGCTATTATAGTTTAAGGCTGCAAAATAAAATGAAATGTGTTATCACACAATACTAACGCTGTTTGCAGGCATACACTGTGACTCAACCCCCCCTTTATTTCCTTTTGTTCCTCTATATTACTTGTTCTTTCTCCATCACCCCAACCGGTCCTGGCAGAGGCCGTCCACACTGAGCCCGGTTCTGCCGGAGGTTTCTTCCACCTGGGAGTTTTTCTTCCACCTGGGAGTTTTTCTTCCCTGCTGTTGCTCATGCTTGCTCGGTGTGGAACAAGTTGGACTTTGTGTTTCTTAAGATCTTGGACTTTTGTGCAGCACCCTGAGACAACTGTTTGTTGTGATACCGTGCTATATAATTAAATTTGATTGATTGATAGTAAATTACTGGAACATTGAGACTGGACATTTTCTGTAGTCTTCCTTTCACAACTAAACAACACAGCAGGAGATTGTTCAGGGGCATGTACCATGAAGCAGGATTTGCTTATCAGGGTAACTTCAGGTTTAATTCAGAGTTTTCAGTCTTAAAAAGCTCAGTAACTTCTTATCTGGGTTAATCACCATGGCAAATCATGCTGAACAGCTACTTGCTCCAGATCAGGTTAAGTTTGAGATAAGAGATCAACCCATATAAAAGCACTGCCCACTGACCAATAAATTCCTCTGAAACATGTCATCAGTGTTCTTTGAGGATCTAGAGGAGCTTGGTGTGCAATCTGTTAGAGGGTCTACTTTCGCCTTCTGCAATGAGTATCTTCATCTGAGGGAATGATAAACCTTTGTCTCCTGCTGGAACCGTATATAACCAACCCGACACATAGGAGCAATGCACTCACAGTACCACAGACCGAATGCACTGCCCTACGTTTCTTTGCTTGTGGGAGTTACTTGTCCACTCTCAGTGATACATGGTGTTTATTTTCTATTTGCTCCCAAATGTGCTTGAACCCACCAGGGATGCACCAGAAAGAATAATAAAACTACATACACACAATGAGAATACATGTGATTAATGCCATACAAACAAAATCATAGTCAGATATGCTCTTGTCCTAATGATTGGACAGACTATAAAAACATTTACATTTTTTTGCCAGCTGTCCTTCCTGCATTTGGCAACTGTAACCGTGTTTCTTTCAGCCTAGATAATGTTTGGTGTTTGTACTCCTTGTATTTTCTCTAATTTAAAAGTTTGGGCCTTGTTGGTGAAATATACAGGTCTACTGCCAGTACACTTCTCCGTGTCGTTTATTGGTCATTTGCAGTAAACACTGCTCCTTTTATATGCACGCACTCATATTTAAATGAGAGAAACCTGGGTTGACTTATGATTTGATAATCAACACTGTGTGACTGCTTAGCCTCATTGCCTTAGTTAAGTTAACCTGGATAACAGAACGATATCCTGGGTATGTTGAACTTGCTTCGTACTACAGGCCCATGGTCAGATGCATTCACAACAACAGGAAAATGTCCAGTACATTCAGGCGTGGGGTGGAGCCTGGGTAGAGCATGCAGGACACAACAGATAAATCCTGCTGTGGAAAGCCCTGGCATCAGCCCCTATCACCAAAAGATTTACACGTTCAAGTGTCATCGTCTTTTCATTTTGACATCTTCGTGTGTATGGCTACTGTTCCTCATCCTAAGATATTTTGATTCCTCCAGTTTCACGTCCATCAAAACCCACTCACTTGCTGTGAATTTTCCTGACGTTTTCCTGCTACGTTCTCAAATGGGCTTACTCAGACATTTTCCGCACATTTTACTTGGGGGCTGGCGGGAAAAGTTGTAGAAATATCTGGAGCAACTGACTCAGAAAATTGTGTTCTCACGTATAGCCCCTCTAAAGGATTTCGAGAAAATGTCTAGACTACAGTGCATGTCTATAAGCAGTTTAAGATTTGCAGCAACGAAGAGAATATCATACAATGTTATCCATTGTGTTTAAAAAATAATCGAGACAATATAAAAACAGATAATTGAACTATCTATACGAGTAATGATCATTTCCATTATATATTAATCTGGAATCTGATCAGAATTCCCTTATTCCAGGAAAAGATGAATCCACAAATCTATCTAATACTTCCAGAAACCTCTGTCTGTATGTGCAACGCATATCTCAAGAACCATTAATCTCATCTGCTTCACACTAGGCAAGTGTATTGTTAAGAGCTGAAAGAAGAGATACATTCCATCAAGCATCAAATCCTCATGTTTGAATAGCTGGAAGTAGAGAATGTCACATATTTGGGCTTCAAAAAGAACTTCAGCGTTTAATGGTTTATAAAAATAGACACTTCCACCACAGTAAAGTGTGCGAGGCCAATCACCATTTTTGGTAATAATTTACTGCGTCTCTCAATCACATTTAAATGGTGCAAAAAAATGTAATGGGGATGTCTACACACGTAACCTGAGGGAGGGTCTTCACACTGCTGCTAAATGCCAAAAAGCAGGATTCATTAGGTACCATAAGTGCTGGTGTAAACTGGTCACTCTGCTGACTACTGTGTTTTTCAAGAACAGTTGCTGTCATTCCTCAGGGGATGTGACGCTTAATCTATATCTGAAAAACTGAACAGATTATCAGGGAATCATCTGCAGCAGCATCTCTGGCGAGGTCGGTTTTCTGGAGCGAGTACCTCAGCAGTAACCAAGCATCTGATTTCCTCACGTCAGTGGTTTACAGGGAAGAAGAGGGTCTAATGAGGCTGAATGCATGTGATGGTTGCACTCTCTTCTCTTTGTCCTGCTGTTCACCTCATTACCGTTTCTAAACAAACTCAATCTATTAGTGTCATCAGAGTGACTCCAGTGACACAGGATTCTTTCATAAAATCTGTGAGCATAGACAGAGTAGCCCTGTGCTATTAAAGGACCATACTAGAGTTTTTGCGAGTTAAATCCAAATCCAAAACTAAAATTTAAAGTTGACTACTTCCCTTTTTCTTATCAAACTGGAATAACCACACTCCAGTTGGATGCCTCCGCCATCCAGTGCAAATTCTGTTCACATAATTTTCAAAGTTCACTGTGACCTTTACCTTTGACCACCAAATTCTAATCAGGTCATTCTTCAGTCCAAGTGAATGTTTGTATCAGATTTGAAGGAATTCCCCGAAGGTGTTCTTAAGATATCATGTTCTCGAGAAAACATAATGCCTCCAACCACTGGCTGCTGGAGATAAGGTACAACAGTAATGTAATTTGGCCAGGAGCATTAAGGGATACACTATTTCTTACATGGTGTTCCTGAGCACACCTACTCAAAAATAACAAACACAGCAGACTCAGAAACTATCATCTAATTCAGTTTGCCTCTGTAATACTCAAATCTAAACATTTCTTATGAGTCTGGCAGCAAATTTGATGAGTAGCCAAAATACATGTGTATATATCTAAATACCAAGGCATATTGCTAAAGTTGAGTTAACACCATTTACTTTTTACAACTGAACATGGTTAAAGCCGATTAGAGAAAACGGTGGAACCACCATCATACAGGAGAAGTTGTAGACTTAAAAATATTCACTGTGTACAATGTAGGTGTTAAACCTATTGTTTTGCTTTTTCAGACTGAGGCCATAAAACGCATTGTTTAGTAGGTGACTAAGCAACAACAACTGTCTGACTCACTCTCATGAGAATGGTCTGTGTGTGTGTATGTATGTGTGAATGTGTTTTTTAAAAAGGTCATTGTGCATTGTCCTCAGTCAACGCTGTACAATCCAACTACTATGTTCAGGACATTTGTACTGAGCCAGCATTATGCAATCTGAAAAGCTCATCATCATCATCACTGCATGCAGGCAAAACTGAACCAGCAGGTCCCAGTCAGCTGGGTCAGGAGTGACTCACCACTGCTATAAGCATATGGGGACTCGGCCGATCCATCTTGCAGGCTGTCCAGGATCTCTCCTTTTCCCACATCGCTGTCTCCAACCAGAAGGAACTTAAGCAGGTAGTCGTAGCTTTTCACCGGGCTTCCCTGGCTGCCCATGTCTCACATCTGAGACCAGGGCCGAAGGAGGCTGAAGATGAGCAACAGGGTTAACAGCTCTACCCCTCCTTGTGTGTTGTCCCTCTGAAGTGATCCAAAACAAAGATTGTGTCTGTTGTACCACTAGTTGCTGAATGGAGGTCCTCCAGTTTCCAGTCCTTTTCTTGCCTGTTTACTTTATGTCTTCCAAGTTGTGTGCGAGTGGGTAATTTTCAAACTCAAACCACAGTCTCACAGAATAACAAGGTGGATGCCAGAAGTGTGGTTCTGAGACAAAACATTCCTACTGCTCAAGTTGAAGATGAGAAATGTGTTGGTTTGGTCAAACTCACTGAAAAAACTAAACAAGTTAAAACAACTAGGACTGTGCTAAAGTCTGACAGCTATATAAATTATATAACCACAACCAAAGCCAAAAGGTCCTTATCTTAATGAGATTAAAATCTATTAAAGATCAAAAGCACAGACAAGCTAAGTATAACTTGAGCTCTATCCGGACAGGATGACTCTCGTGGAGAAAAACATGCTTATTGTCTAAAATAGAATTAATAATTAACTGGGAGGCAATTAATGGTTATTGTCTTTTAAGATGAAATGTCTCTGCTGAAATGTCTCTCCTTGTTCACAGATAACTACCGTCCCAGGACAGTATTATTCTCTCTTTTGTCCCTGTTTCACAGGAGCTTTCTTCTTCACCTCGCAGGGAACAACAGGCTAGCACTGTCAGAGAGCTAGCTGGCTAGTTTAGCTATAATCACTGCTGCTAACGTAAACAACCACGTGTAAAAGCAGTAAATCTCTGACGACACGTTATCTGCCGGTGCACACTGCGGTGAGCTCCCCGCTCGAACAAGACTCCACCATCAGATAAAACACTCGGTATTTCACAGTAAGCTAAATGCTAACCAGGCTAGCGCAGCCCGTAGCTCAACTTCAGCCGACGTCTGTGTGATTTCAGGCCCACTCGTCTTTTCTTCAGTCCGGGGACAAAGATTCCTGTAACTTCGCTGCGTTACGTCCAGAAAAATGCCATCCTCCGCGGGGAGATTAAAATCCCGGGGCGTTTCTACGTCCAGTCCGAATCTGTGTGCGTGCGTTCACCGATCTCAGTCCGTGCGTTTTTCCACTTTTCTCCATGATCGCGGACCTCAGGGAGCTGCGCTGCTCCGCGGTGCAACAACACTGACTCCGCAGCTGACAGATCCGCTGATCCGCCACCGCGCAGCTGTCTGTGGCCCCGCCCCGCACACCCAAAAAAACCCGCCTCTCCCGCGATACGATTGGACGCCGACTCCGCTCTGACGTGCACGGCGGATGCGAGTGGCTGCGCAGCACGTCCGTCACAGTTGGCTGTCAACAACTCGCAGATGGTGAGAGGAAATGTGGACAACAGAAGTGATTGATTTGTCTCAGAGGATGGACTGGCACGGATGGATTAGTGCGGTAAACACTGCGATCGGAAGATAAACACTTATAGTTAGAGTAAGGTGCGGGGAAGCATCATGGGACATTGGTGTCAAGGTCCAAACACAGAGGTTAATGTTGGACTGAGGGGAAGTGTATTCAGTGTTTCATGTGTATATGATAGGTCACTATATACATAATACACCTCCCTTGCACCCACACATGGGATGTCTTCCTCAAGCTCGGGTCCTCTACCAGAGGCCTGGGGGTCTGAGGTTTCTGCACAGAATCTTAGCTGTTCCCAGGACAAAGGATTCAGATGTTGCACCTGGGATCTGCTGGAGCCCCTCCCCCAGTTTGGGGGTCACAGCCATCATTGGGTTTCTGCTGTCTGAGGCATCACTGAGCAACTCTTCACTTGGGGCCATCTTCCTCATCTGTAGTGGCTCTGACGCTCACTAGTCCTCAGCCTCCCTCCTTTTGCTCATTGTACAGCTTCAGGGTCCTGGACTTGGGATGGAACCCCTCATGCATGTGCGTGTGTGTGTATGTATACACAGTGTTTTGTTTTTTGTGAGACTGCATGTTTGATTTAATCATGACTGTTTTATTTAAGTAGCTGAAATCAAATTAACTGTTCACTAATAGAGAAGCCAAAAAAAAAAACAAATACCAGAAAATCAAATATTAATACATTTTATTAAATGACAATGGAACATTTAAAACAGATCATTTGAGGATTTAATAAAAAAAATTCTAATAATTTAATTAACATTACAAGAATAGCCAGAAAATGGCAGGATTAGACACAAATAAATAAAAGAGAAGATAGACAAAAGTTGAATCAGAGTTAATCAGAAGTTTATCTCTATCGCTAACTGATTCTCAAGAGCCACATTTATTTCTCACATTGAAATATGGGATATGGCTGCACATAAACCTAAAACACAAATAATTTCTTTTGAAATACAACTCTAAGAATAAAATAAAAAAAGTGTTTGTCCAGTTAAACAGATTAAATCTATCTACAGCAGTTAATACACAAATCCCTGAAGTGGGACTCTGTCTGTGTTAGTTGATTCAGGCTGTTCACTTCTGCCACTTTGTGATCTCACTGCCGTGCGCCCACTATGTTGTGATTGGTCAGCCTCTTCCAGTGCGAGAGGAAATGTCCTCCTCTCTGGCTTTACCTTTGTTAGGGGGCGTGCCAGACTAGCTGCTAGGCGTGCATTATGGTAATCTTGCATATTGCGATGTCACAATGATGCAGAATTATGGTGGAGGTCTTTCAGGGGCTTCAGTGTTTTCTGTGGGTTAGAGGAGCCGTCTTTACCACAAACCTTTGGCTTTTTAAGTCTGCCGAACTTTTACGTTGAGAAAAAAAAAATCTATATTACACACGTGTAGAAATGCAAGAAAATACTGTCTCTTTTAAAATCTCTTTTAATATTTTTTGACCTGATGGTGACACTAAAGAAAAGGTCAGTCTACAAATGCAGAGTAAAAAGTGTTAGGAGCTCAGATGTCTATAATGTGAACTAAATGCTGTATATTTGCTGGTCATACAAAGAATTTAGAAACGTGAAAAACGACAATGAAACTCTTTTCAAATTATTTTAAAGTGGATAGACACCTTTATATCTTATCTGCAGATTTGGAATTAAAGTTTTTATATGTATCATCTGTTTTTTCCTCACATTCAAACATACTAAAGATCTGTTTTGGTCTGCTGGTGTTCTGTACCTTAGTCGTGAGCTGAAGAAATCAATGTGTCCTTCAAACTATGTTTAATAAGAAATACTGATTTCTATTAAATATCGTAAATCACTTAAAGCGAATGTTTTTACTATAAAAAAATCATCAGTGAAAAATAATTTTGTTTACCATGTACACTGGAAATAATTGTATAATGATGGAAGGACGCGACTACTTCCTGTTTAAATCTTGTGGTTGAAATCCTTATGGTGTAAAACATGATTTCAGAGAGTTGAACGTTTGAAGACTTGGAGTTAAATATTTCTCACCAACGTCCTTCCATGACACTGACAGGTCTTTGTTCTAGTTTCACCTTTGCCTCCATCTGTATGTTGCCATCTCAGTATTTATTCAGTCTCTTCCCTTTCCGTCATCCCCTCACCTCTCCCTCTCTCCCTCTCTCAAACACGTATCTGGTGGGTGTCTCTCAGTCAGTCTTGGTGGTTTTGTGTCTCCAGGGGTAAATCAGCTCCCCGACAAAGAGTTTCTTGACCAGCGCTGCCCATGAGTCTTTTGGGTAACAGTTGTAAGTCGGAGTGCGGTAGGTCTGAACCACTGTGCTGCACTTCAGAGGGTTAATCTGAAGAAGAAACACATAACAGCCTGATCATTAAAAAAGTGAAAAATGAAATCATTACATCATTTGCACCCTATAGTGGAAAAGTACTTTACTGAAACATAGTTTTCTGCCACTAAGGGTCTGTTAATCAAAATCATAGACTGTAAATATAGCTGTTCTTTGATTTTTTTTGTTTTGACCTTTTCCAATGAGCTACAACTCGACTGTTCTCAGAAACCAACAAATCTAGCTTCAAACAGACATGAAATGTGACCTCTTACCTCCATCAGTAGGTGAAGGGCCGTTCCCGGTTCTTCACACAGGACCCGGAACTTTACACCTTCTGTAACATACATGACGCACATCACAGAATACGTATAATTTCAATCAATTCACCCATCCAGAAAAACAGCAGATTTACTTAAGAATTATCTACACAGTTTATATCAACCCTACATCACGTCATCCACATGATTTAACACAGTATGAAGCAAAACAGTGTCTGCATTATATTTTTCCAGTTCAATATGTAAAAACCCAGGCAGAAGATCTGGGGGATATACCTGCCAGTTTGTAGGACTGAAAAATGCGGAGGGCCACAGCGAACAGCGGGAAGGAGTTCAGGAAATCCACACTGAGGTGGAGGACACCCTGGAGAAGCACCACCAGCAACCGCAACTGCACAACAACAGGACACACAGGGTTAAAAAAAACAAACACATCCCTCTGGAAATAATCACGTAATCATAAATCACTTTGGTAACTTATGCTGAACGGCTAACCTGCTCTGGAGCAGGTTAAATTCGAGATAAGAGATCAACCCGTATAAAAGCTTCAACCACTGACCAATCAATTCCTTTGAAACAAGACATCAGTGTTATGAGAGGATCCCTTGGTGCTCCGTGGGCCCTATCTAAAAGTTTATAAAGTTAGTAAAAGGTCAGTTTGAATAAATGATTAAAGCAGTGACGGAGAGGTGAACAGTGAGTATGGAAACATCCACAGAATTAAATGAGGAAAAGGAAAAATGTGTGGTTGTTCTCCTGTCGCTGTTTTTCTGGCTCTGCGGCAGGAAACTGATCCTGCACAGCTCTTACTGACGCTTTTTCTCTCCCACACTGAGAAAACAGTCACCAAAAGCTTCAAACCCGGCAGCCACTGATTCCACTCCTTTACAGTTTGGTGCAATGCACATGAGCTGACCATGATCTAGAGCTGCAGCTATTACATTTTCTTAAATAGTTCAATACTTCTAGTTCTAGTTTCTTTAAATAGTTGTTTCTGCCTTTTTTATGTCAAAGACACACAAGGCAAAATAAAATTCTATCATGTTTCTGTTACTGCGACTTTGGTTCAGAAACATTTAAAAATAATTTTGACTGTTAAGTAATCTTTCAAAAGGAGCAGCATTATGACTGTAATCAAAAGGGGTGAAGGATAAAACACAGCATGTTGGGCTTGTGCACAGTTGAAAAAGATTGTAAATAAAGAGGAATAAGCACATATGCATTTAATAACCTTATAGTTTGACATTTTGTCCAGCGCCATCTCAGTCTTTTGAAAACAGAAGTAACCATATTTTGAGGAGCGGGGGATGGAGCCTGACACTGCACACCCACCTACACTTATTACGCTCCAGACAATGAACAGCAGACCCCCACAAATCAGAGACATGAAAACAAACATGAGGAAACGCGGATTGTTCTGCAGGAGTTTCATTCATCATCATCAAAATGGTCACTGCTGGAAGCTGTTGGAACTGACACATAAAAATCTCTCCACTTACCAGAGTGAAGACCAGGTAGTACAGGGCTGTCGTGGGAAGCAGGAAGAGCAGGACGGTGAAGAGCAGCGTCCCAATGAAAAGCTGGAGCATCACAAACCACAAAAACACTCTCAATAAACATCAACATGTCTGAGTAAATTAGGATTATATTGTACTAATGTGTGTGTGTGTGTGTGTGTGTGTTACCTGGTCCAGGTCATAGGAGCAGGAGTCCACTCTCTGACGCAGGACGTTCCACTTCTTCCCTCTGAAGAGCCTCCAGAGAGAGGAGAGGCCGTAGATCTTCAGACAGTACAATCTGAAGCGCAGAAAAACAAACACACACACACACAAAAACAAACACACAAACAAACACGCACGTTAACATTCCAGGCTACATGAGAACCTTTCTGAAGCTAAATCAGAGCACATTTATTTCCATTATTTCCAGAGTAGACGTGAACTGTGATCAAAGCAGATAATTTTAGGTGCAGGAATAAAGATTTAATGAGTCACTCTGACGTAAGTTCTTTGAGTGAACGTAACACGCACGCACCAACGTGTGCACACACACACACACAGGTGCATAAATATGTAACATTTCATTATGCACTGCAGGCGAGGGAGACAAACTATATTTAAAGCAAATCAAATGCATAATTAAGTCAGTTCTCTCTCCTCCAACATCCAGGATAATTATCAGTGTTAATACACATCACACCACACATCAGCCATTACTCCTCCTGGTTCAAACAGAACCACCCAAGAGTCCACTTAACAGCCACAGAGGCACAAGTTAGGAAAAGCTGCCCCCTGCAGGCTAATTAAGAACATTACACCTCATAGAAATCAAGGGCTTGTCCCAACCATAGACGTCCCAACTCAATAGCATTGTTAACAGTTTGTGAAGTGTTCAAAAAACGGAGCGGAAGCAGAATAGAGAGTAAAAGTGGGTATGCAAACTGAAGATGTGTTGGTGATTCACAGTTTTGCAGAAAGGAAATTTAAGGTGCTTCTCACTAAAGTACCAACAAACTGAAAATACCGTCCTATGGTTGTAAGTCTCCGCCAACCAGTGCAGTTCTGACATAAATGTTTTCCAGACCCATATGTGGTAAGTAATTACCTAAAGGTATACTTGAGATATGTTCAAGAGGCCAAAAACATGTTTCCTGAGGCCGCTTTGACTTTTGAGCTTTGACTACCTAAATCTAGGCTCTCTGGTTCAGAGAGCCTAGGTTCAGTCTCTGTTCATCTGTGTGTCCAAGTGAACATTGATGCCAAATTTGAAATTCAACAACATGTTCACAAGAACAGGAAAGATGGTAGAAGAGACTGGGGGCCACAGGGTGTTGCCAGCATGGAAAGAAAAACATTAAGATAAATTGAAAAACCTAAAGATGGATCAAAACAGTATTAACTTTAAGACTGAGCTGCCACAGGAATGATCTGTGAAGTGTAACCATCAGGGACATGTGATGGTAATATTTCCTATAAATGCACCGGAAACTTCAACTTCTTATCAAAGGAATCAATGAAAAGTCCATCCAGCTAAGGGAGCTGCTCAGCCAACATAGCTGACATTTACCTATTGCAAATCCAGCTCATGTGAAGAAATGTAACTTCCACCTCACTTAAGGTTTTATCTATATTCCAGCACAAAACTGACGATTATCAACATATATCAATGTTTTTCTGAACAGACACGTTGTTAAGTAACATTTGAATTTTGGAAAAGAAAACTTCTTAAACCAAAAATACGTTCACCCAGCGCTGTGGTCTCACCTGGCTCCGTAGACATAGAAGCAGTAGATATGGAAGGTGAGGAGGGCCACCATATCTGAGAGCAGCGAGAGGGCAAAGGTCAGGCCCAGGCAGGCTGACAGGCCCCCGTACCAGAGGATCCCCTCAACGAACGGAGACATCAGGTGGATGTAACCTGGACGGACAGGTGATACATTAAAGTGAGAGTCTGACCAGCGTGATGACGTCTGAAGCCTCTGGGCGACGCTCGCAGAACGTTTAGTCCAGCACACTATAATGCTCTGAGTGTATTTGTTTGTGCGACTTTTGTGGTGTCACTCACTGATCCACAGGTGAATGTGGTAGAGGAAGAAGCGTCCCAGAACCTGGTCCAGGGCCCGATTCATCTTCAGCCCAGCAGGAGCTCCCATCAGCCACTGCAGCAGCTCCTCCAATTCTTTAGCCACATGCTACAGAAAAAAATGTAAAATGCTGTTATATAAATCAGTTAAATTAGCAACTTTTTTACCTTAAAAATAACAGTTCCAAAATTACTGTGTAGCCCTTCACATATTTAGGCGAAATCATGGCAAGGATTTATGACTCTACGATCTTGTGCTCGGATAAGTCAATCATCTCAGATGACCAGAGCATTTTGTGGTCTGACCCAGGTGACACATACTTACGTCTGCCGCGGGCACCAGCGTGTTTGCTAACATGGTGATGTGGTTGTCTCTGTATAGCCAAGAGATGAGCAGCATGCCGAGAGCCACGTCCACCAAGATGGACACCAAGATGTTGGCTTTTCTACAGACAGAGGACGGGAAGGTTAAACCAGGAGAGAAGAAACTTTCGTCCTCTGCAACATCTCAAGTAGTGAATGTCTGTCCCCTAGTTTGTCCCCCTCAATGGCCCAGGGGATATTCTGTGAGTATTTCATGGTCTTCTGAGGCTGATTCTTACTAAATTTGGTGACCTTAAAGGTCCAGTGTGTACAATTTAGATGAAAGGGATCTATTGGCAGAAACTGAATCGAGGGGGTCCTCTCTATGGAGGCTGCCATGTTCTTTGCAGTAGTTCAAACTGGACAAACACAGCACCTTTTGAGTTTTTATGACAACTGAAGCTACCACAGGTTCTCTTTCATGTATGGAAAGGGAGGGTGAGCTGAGGGGTATTCAGCTGCAATATGCAACTTCACCACTAGATATCACTAAACTCTACACACTGAACCTTTAAATATAACTCCAGCATCACAACTGAACTACCACAGGTAAGCATGAAATTCACTGAGCACAGTTATACTCACCTGAGGATAAACCCCTCCAATTTTGGGGAAATTCTATGAGCTTTAATAAAAATCATCATCAAAATATATAAACAAGATCAGTAGGAACTCTTTCATATCTGTAACAGTTGTGCCTTAACAGAGAGATGTGATGAGGATATTAGAGGTGGAGCTGCTCACAGAGGAGTAATTCAGCTTTGAACAGAAACTCACCTCATGAAGTGTGTGTGTCCTGCAGCTGGTTTGGTTGAGCTGAGCGTCCTCATGTGTTCGGTTCTATAGTTCAGCTGGACACACGTGGACAGTTTACTTCCCAGGAAGCGGAGCGGGTACAAGCTGAAGATGCTGGAGATGAAGTAAAACAATCACAATAATAAAAAATAAAGACACAGGTAAGGTATTAGGAAACACAGCCGTTATCTATTGTAAAAAAGCGCCCTCTGCAGCCACATATGGTGATTAGTTCTGTCTAATTATTTACATTATCAATCATTAATTACTGTACCAATTATTGATGAATCATTATGGGTGCCTTGCCAGCTGGGGGCTCTGCTTTGACTTCAATAGAAAGCTCAAAAAATGATTCCTGATGAGAAAACTAAATTTCTAAATCGCTCTTACGGTCTCATTTCTTAACTCTTATTAAATAAAAACATATGTGGACGTCGACAATGTGTTCATTTCTCAGATAGGACTTATAGATGTTGAGTTAGAAGCTTTTGTTTGAGCGGTGGTCTGAAGCTTGTTCAGCTCTCCAAAGTGAGGAGACAACAGGTGTTCCTCATCTAATCAGTGAGTAACCATAGCAACCCCATAGACTGACAGAGGGAGAGTCTCCTCTTTAAATTTACTCAGATCTCCATTTTCACCAGGCTCTGCTTTGGCCCAGTGGTTAAGGCACTTGATCATGTGACGTGAGTCTGGGTTCAAGACCGAGTGAGGGTGGTGGCTTTTGATACATTTTTGAAAATTTAAATTAAATAAAAATAATTTTTCAAAATAAAACCCCCAGATGGTTACAGGATGTTCCCAGGGAGCTGGAAAAACAGTGGATTTTCAAAATAAAACCCCCAATTAGTTACAGAATGTTCCCAGGAAGCCTGAACTATGCTGGATTTTCAAAATAAAACCCCCAAATAGTTACAGAATATTCCCAGGAAGCCTAAAAGATGCTGGATTTTCAAAATAAAACCCCCAGATAGTTACAGAATGTTTCCAGGAAGCCTAAAAGATGCTGGTTTTTCAAAATAAAAGTCCTGGATGAAGACAAGACCTTACCAGGAAGCCCAAAGGAGTCTGGATTTTCAAAATGAAACCCCCAAATAGTTACAGGATTTTCCCAGGAAGCCTGAAGGAGGCTGGATTTTTTTTTAAAATTCCATGGATGGTGATAATAAGACCTTACAACATGGTTTCTCTCTGTCTCTCTGAAATTGGTCAAGTCTCTCTGTCACCGACCTGGATCATGCATGATTATAAAATCAAGCAGCTTTTGGAAATCAATCAATCAATCAATCAATCGCTCTCTCTCTCTCTCTCTCTCTCAAATGTTTGTTATTTTTTTTGCTTTGGCTCTACTTTCCCTCCTCTCACCGGATGTTGCAGATCCACGTCCACATGGACAGCAACCAGCTGATGAGCAGGCAGAGCGGGACAGAAGCTTGTTTGAGCAGCTCCACGATGATGCTGGCCTCTCGACCTTGAGACTGCCAGTGAGTCGACTTGAGCGGCCCGTCATCGTATCTGTCCAGGAAGAACAGAGGCTGGCTGTGAGCCACCGTGTGGAACATCTGGACCAGAGGAGACAGGACGCTTCAATAAACCGGTTACATGAGCTGCATTCGCTCACGTGCACACACTCTGCAACCTACAAAGATCATTTCATGTTGCATCACTTTTCTTTTTTGCTGCATCTGACGAGACCTTATTTTCTTCGCATGTCACCTTCGTCTTGTACCTGTCTAAGTTCAGATGGAGGATCCGTTTCGGGGCCAAGAACTCCATTCTCGATGGGGTGAAGCTCTGACAGCATCACCTTCCTCTGCTCGTAGTGGACGAAGATCACCTTCTCCTCTTCCCCTTCCTCCTCCTCACCATCAGTCTTCTCATCCTCTTCATCCCTCTTCACCTTCTGCTGAGTTACAACTCCATCTGGTGTCGACAAAGATAAATCATTTTTACTCCTGACTGATTTTTATTTTATTTTAAACAACGTGAACGGAAAATACGGAAAACCCTGTGAATATCAATGTGACGTCTTACTCTGATCCCGGAGGAGGATGTTACAGGTGAAGCCTGTCTTGCCCACCTGGCGGCTGATCTGGAGCCAGCGCTCCTGTGGGAAGATGGTGCTGAGGTCTATGAGGAAGCTCTCCATACCCTCCTGACCTTCTTTTGGTAAACTCCATGAACCCAACACCGACAGCTCCACACCACTCTGAGCCTGCATCTGGGAGAAAGATATTTTTTTAATACTGATATAAAACTTTTTTTAAATTGTCATTCATAATAAATATCTATAAATAAAAAGAGAATACAAATGCAACCATATATGTAGAACCTAAATGAAGATTAATGTAAACATAAGTACAATATAGACATATATGCATTGTTTATTCTGTAAAATCAAAGTCAAATCAGTAAATATAAATGCCGATACTCATACACCCGTGAAAGACTCATATCAGTCATTTTTGATCAACGAACCATTTACATTTTTTCAGGCTCTACTTAAATAAAACATTTACCTCATTGACTCAAACATGAAGACAATGCGTGAAAGTGAACCATAAAACCACAAGTGACGTAATTGACACATTTTTGGTGCCTTTTTCTGTGTCTGAATGGAATTTGCAAGAACGGAGAGTTCTGCTAACTTACACTAATCTCTATGTACATGAACAGTGCTCTGCACCTTCAGGCACAGCTTTGTAGTGAAAATGAAATTTTCTTCCACGTGTTTGTTGATTAATCTGTGTCTGTCCTTTTTATCCATACATTAAATTAATGTTTTGTTTGTATCTGCTCTGGAAATATTTGACTGCATTTCAATAAAAGTTCAACATCCCAATAAAACAAGCTGATAAACATAAAGGTTTAGAATTCCCCTACTGTAACCCTCATGGACACACGCTAATTTAATCCAATATGAGGCCAATATGATCAATCAGGATATAAATCTGATCCATCTTCTCCAGAGGTGAGATGATGAAGAGGCCTGTGTGGCGCTGAACTGACCTGCTGGATGTACTGTTTGACCTGTCCAGAAATGAACGGGTAGTGGATGACTGCCAGCACCACGGCCGAGTCATGGCCGGCGATCCAGCGGCCCACCAGCAGCCCGCTGTCGGCCCGGTTACAGCACTGTGGGAAGAAGATCTTCAGCACCATGGCGTCACTGCTGCTCAGAGTTCAGCCTCCAGCAGTTCGGATGATCTGAGAGACAAAATCTACCAGGATTGGTACCAGGGCTACAGCAATAGTGTTGAATTCCATTCACCTTTTAACTTGGAATGAAAGATAGACAGCAAACTAAGTTGGAACGTTGTGGGAGAACTCTGTGACTTTGACATAGCTCCTTTAATGTAAGTCATAAAGAAATTACTTTCATACTGTTTAAAGCTCCTTACCAGCCAAATGTTTATCTTGATAGCTAGATATTCTCAATGCTATAAACTTTGTGTGAATGTTGAGGTGATAATGAACCTCTAAGAAGCAGGGGCCATTCTGTCAAGTCACAGGTTCAACTACCAGTAGGATCCTGGTGGAGCAGCACTTACTACTTAATTAAGATCCGAAACACATGACATTTTTTGTTCCATAGGTTTCTCATTGTGACCAAATCAGCATGAAAAGTTTCATTACAAATTTGAAGGTGCGCCCCTGACGTGCAGGAGGATCTGCAGCAGTGACTCTTTCAGAATGATGAGGGGATTCTTCCTTTTCATAAACAACATTCATTTTCTAAGCCTCTGTTTACATGTAAGCACGACGGCAGGAGAAAAGTACATTTGCCATTTTTAAAGGGAGTTTGTGAAACGTGCTTTCAGACGATATAAAGCAAACCTTGTGTACGCCGAATTGATAAGTGGATCCTTCCCTATCAATAACAATACTCATCATCTGAATCTCTGTCTAAAGATAAGCACGACAGTGAGACAAATACTAAACATCCCGTTTTAGAGGCAGTTTGTAGGACGAGCGGTTGAAACTGGGTTAGACAGCTGGACTCCTTTGACCTTCACACATCGAGTTGACGCGCGTTGTTGTGGCTCCGGGGAAGAATCCCCATTGATTTCAGTGACACCGCCGTCCAGTGACATCATGGAAGTGGGTTAGATGGAGATTAACAGGCGAAAAGCAAATGTGAGACAACTTGACAGACTCCGTTGTTTAAATCCGTTCAGAGTCAAAGTGAATCCACACTGAATCTCAAGTGTTCGGGTGAATCTGCGATGAGACACGAGTTTAAACCCATTTCATTTACCTTCAGTATCCCCCGACACGAGCTTCACCTTCCGTCTGCAGCGTCGACAGCTACGAACTACCCCCCGACATTTTCTTTGTTTATAGTCCAGCGCAAAAATCACTCCGATGAGAAACAAACATTAATATTAGTTCCTACTATCGAATTAATTATATTATATATTTAAAAATCCACCATTTATTTACCGTTTGAAGTGGATAAATTCACTTATGAAAAATCCCCAATGTTTGTTTATTCAATATTTTCCGGGACTCTTTTTAAATGTGCTTGAATCTCTTCAGTTTAGTTTGAAGGAATTATGTTTAACTCAAACCCCAAAACGGTGTTAATAATCCCATAAATATTTTAAAATGATTATATGACGAATAAGCTAGAAGATAAAAAGTCATATAAATTTGAGAGAGGGAGGATTCATTAAGAGAAGAGGAATTGAATTGAACAGCTACAACTAACAAGAGAGAATTAAGTCATTGCTCATATTACAATGTTGCATCTATTTGATCGCTTACAGACAAACTTAATTTGCTTTCAAGATCCTGAAGAGAGAAGAATCATTCTGAGAGAAGAAACCGAGACGTCAACTGAGAAGAAAACAATGCAGCCACAGAGACGGACATGATCCTATTCTGGTTATAAAAGGAAAAGGAAAAACCTATATATGGAGAAAGAACTTAAAAATCAGAAAGTTTCATTAATTTGCAAACATGCATATGACACTCAATCTGAAACATTTCATGTTGATAAAACAAATGCATGATTGCCAAATAAATGTGCCCAGACCCACTGACTATAAGGATGGACACATTTCATTTCACAATAACATAAATAAGAATAATAAGAAAAACATTATGATTGGTTTGCTGACAAACAATGCCAGTGAGTCAGGTGGTGACAATGCTGACGGCAATATGGACAGATATGTTACCCATTCAGACCAGGATCTGATCATACAAAGACAATTAGTGAAACTTCTGAAATAAAACAATTTAAAAAAGAGAGATTCCATAGCCTATGATTGAAATAAGTTTGATTGTGTACCTGTTTCTTTAGGCTCCAATAATGGTTTGATCATAAGAAGAATAAGAATGCCTTCATCCACATGCACAGAATATATTTCATTTTCAAATTGACGCTGCTCAACACCATAATTGCAGAACAAACAGAAACAAACCATGAAATATTAACAATCTGCTTGTTACTCACCAGTAATGCTCACTGTGTGTGTGAGAGACTAAGGAGTTGGCCCAACTGTAAGACATCTTATCTCCTCCAGCGGTGACACAGCAAGAAAAGAGCGGGATGTAAACCTGAAGCAGAAGTTGATGTAGTCAGACTCATCTTCAGCTGTTAAAGAATGAATTAAAACATTAAAGATTAATATATAAATGTTTTTGATATTATCTGGGGTGGACTATATTTCTTGTCCATGCTATTGATTTCAATATTCCACCAACACTCACATTGAAACATGTGTTTTCACAGACACAACTATTCTTTTATTCTATTATTTGTTGTTTAATCAAACAACGCAATGAAACTATTTTAAAAACTACACTACCCAGTAGCTCCAGCGAGAGACATTGCGGTGGATTGTGGGTAAGCAGGAAGTAAACAAACTCGCATGGTCGCATAAGATTCTGCGGTGGTTCGCAGCAGGAAACCTCCGAGATCCGACTATCAGAGAAAAGATGGATATGTTGAAAGAAAAGATGGATGTGTTGAACGATTTCCAGCGATTCTTTTTCTCTATGAGTCGTTTGGCTTCGTTTCCCTGGACTGTGAGTGGATCCGAACTCAGCTCACACATCTGTTTGTTCGTGCTGCTGCACATCAGGACACTCTTCTGGATAATTCGGCAAAAAAATCGGAAACACAAATGAGCACAGATGATCTGTGTTTGTCTCTCTCAGAGCTGCAGCTTCCGCTCTGCTGTGGAGTTTGCGCAATGTCTATATTACGTTTCCAGTGAAAACGAGCGAATTTAGAGACTGACATTTAAATAAGAGAAGATTTATTTTACCTTCGTTCAAGGTCGAGTTCACTTTTGTGTCTGTTACAAATATCGATATGTGTATGTTTAGAAAAACACATGTATCTATAACAATAGACTTTATTTCTACAGCCTTTTAAAAAACTGCGTCAACGTGCTTTACAGGGGTTTCAAGAAAATTACAATATTTTGGGTAATTAGGCACTAAAATTTAAATTAATTAATTAATTGAGTTATATACACTAGATACAAGATTATTATAAAAAACGAAGGAAAACAATTTTAGCAGAAAACCTATGAGGTGATGATAATGATAATAGTCATAATAATGCCAGTAACAATTTATTGCTCACTGTTAGGTCTCTGATGTGCTCAAAATCAAGATCAGTGTCCATAAATCTCCATTTATTCATCTCGCCAATACCACAAGATTAAAATTTACCTCATGTGGATACATTCAAAAAACGTTCCTCTCCTTCCGTCTAGCAATTAATCCAGCAATGTAAGTTCCTGCCTATATAGTAAATTTCCTGAAGCACACAGGGATGCCTAGTCAAACAATATTTAGAAATGGCTCCAACAATAATAAAGAAATTATTTAAAATATGTTTTTTATCATCACATCAATAAGGTCCTGAGCACAAAATGCCCAGTCAACAGACAGAAGAGTCCTGCGAATTAGATCACATCCAGAAAGAAACATGATATTTCTGAACACATTGAAGGTCTGAAACCTTATTATGATTATGTCTGACCAATCATTTCTGCTTTTACAGTTTCTAGAAAAAGACCTGCAAAGCAACAAATCATCACAATTCATTTCAGATATCTTGAAACAGGTGAGCGTGTCTGCACACGAACATCATCAGAGCGTCCTCAGTCTTCAGTGAAACTAACATCAGTGTGTCTGTCCTGTTGTTTCCAGACATGTCTTCACTCTCTGTGCACTAAGTTTCCACCATCAGTCAAATACAGGAGGCTGTTCATCTCTGAGCTCATCAGACAGGTAGGTCCTCCATCTGTGCAAAATTCAAAAGTAACGTTTTTACTTCATCCCTCTCAGCTCGGGGCCCCAGGCAGTTGCATGTTTTGCCAGTCTTTTGGTCTCTGTGTTCCCTTCACAGCAGGAGCATGCGGGCTGCGACCCTCTGGACGAGCTGTACGACGCTCTGGCCAAGGTGCTGGGAGCTGAAGACACGACTGACTGCTACAAGAGCTACTTACTGGTACCTAACAAGCACAGCATGCTGGTTTACCTTCAGAACATCTCTTTCATTTGTCTCTAAAACCAACCCTGGGTTTGTTCATGTCTTAGCTCCCCTCCTTCGTCTGTGGCTCTCAGTTTCAAGCCCACAGCCCAAATGTATATTTTCTTTAAAAAGGTTCAGTAATTTGCTAAAACTGTTGCAGGGGGCTCGTTTATCAAACAGAAGGAAATGGTGTAGTTGTTAGAAAGGATTTTCAGCAGAAGAATAAAATGTGTCAGGCTTTGGATTCACGCACTTATCTTCGTTAGTCGGAGACATTCATCGTTGGTTTGGTTCTGTACATGGGATTTATTCACAAGAAGAAAAACAAAGAATATGTCAGCAGACTAAAACAAAAAACAGCTGCAGATAACGGTGAGTGAGTGAGTTTACACAGCGACGCGTCAGAGTCCGTCTGTTTCTCCAGCTCACTACAATATATTGAATATTTACACACCAACTCTAAGAGAAAATTTTATAAAAATGTGTCCTGAAGTACTGTTTACTCTTTCCTGTCATTAACACAATCTGAAAAAAAAGAGTCACATGTGGGTAAGGTGATGGTTTATGTGCTGCAGCCCTGTGGTGACTCAGTCAGCCTGTTGGAGAACGTCGCTCTGATCTCAGAGGGAACCACCGGTCTGGTGACCTGGGAGAGCGCCCTCTACCTGGCAGAGTGGGCTCTGGATCACCAGCAGGCCTTCACCGGCAGGTACGTCACCACCACCCCAAACATTAAAGGGATGTTCTCACCTAAGGTAATTTGCTTTATTTTTTATCCAATAATGTGATGAGAAGATCGACACCACTCTCATGCCTTGAAGATAGAGCTTGTCAGTTTATCTAAGCATAGGGACTGGGAGTAACCTTCCACCTGCCTCTACCAAGAGATGACAAAACCCACCTGTCAGCATCTATAAAGTAGAACCCGATCTATATATGTATATTTTTCGGGGCTGATACTTATATCAGTGAATAAAAACAATCCTGATACCAATATACTGTGATATTTATAACTGACTGGCATTGTTCTGTTGGATAGCGACTCCTGGACAAAACAGTTTTGGTATAATTATAATAATATACTTGAAATGAAGACACTCCTGAGAATCTGTAAAAATGTCAATTACGTTTTGTTAACAAATGCTGCACTCTACTGGACAAACTGCATAACGACACAATTACCAACAGCCAAAGCCCTTTGACCTCCACCAAGGAGGTGATGTTTTCAGCATTCGTTTGTAAGAACTCAAATGGTTCCATGAAATTTGTGAACGGAGGAACTCAATAAATTTGGATCTGAGCATATGAACAGGTCCTGGAATAGGATGAGGGGATGGTTGACAAACACTGAGGGAGAGGAAGGATGTTTATTTACCCCAAATCATCACATAAAGCAGTTGCTCTTTTCACATTTAGTTTTTTAGCACAGAATAAAGAAGATGAAATTATTATTATTATTCACTGAGCTGTAGAATATAAATTCCAATTTTTGAAAGAAAATTTGAATTTGACGCAGTGAAGCACCAAACCCCAAAGATGATATGTGTTGTTTAACTGTAATGAGGTCAGGGATCCTACATTTACGTTAAAAATGCTGTTTTCCCTCCTCCTCCTCCTCCTCCTCCTCCTCTTGTCTGCAGGACGGTTCTGGAGCTGGGCAGTGGTGTGGGGTTGACTGGTATCACCATCTGTCGCTCCTGCAGCCCGGACAGGTTTGTCTTCAGCGACTGTCACCCCAGCGTCCTGCAGAAACTGAGAACCAACGTCCACCTGAATAGCCTGAGTGAGCAGACGACTCCCGCGGTCAGCGTTGAACTGCTGGACTGGACAACAGCGACTGAGGAGCAGTTACAAGAGATCGGAGCTGACACCGTCATCGCTGCAGGTCTGCGTTCAGTCTTACTGTCTGCAAGAGAGGAAATTCATTTACACAGTGAATTAGAGAAGAACCAGCTATTTCAGATTAAAGATTCTCTGTGTGACCGCTCCTCCACCGTGTATCAGGCATTTGCAACTTGTACACTGACTTCAAACTAACATTGACTACTCAGGCTGCCCTCAGGCTCTTTTCTGCTGTTCTAAGTCTAATTGATTGTACTAATTCCCTCAAGTGTTAGATATCACATTCAGAATGAGTGCACACACCATCCAGAAAACATAATGAGTCTGGACACGGCATAAAAATACATGTTCATCACACTGACAAAACTGAAAGGAGAATTATTCTGCTCAGATTCAGGTTGATATAATTTTTTAGTTTTACATGTTCAGAAACACATCACCTTCCTCATACTGTTCATTGCTGCAGCTCCTCTTGGTTTTAGCCCAGTCTGCTCAGATTGTCCCACTCAGATTTTCGATTATTGTTTTTCAGGTTCATATACTTTTTCAGTATTTTCAGGAGTTGGAAAGGAGGGAGGGGATCAGTGTTAACTGTTAAAAAGTCATCTACACCTTATTTAAAGCTCATGTGTTGCTTTTTATTCGTAATTATTTTTTTTGTGACTTAAATACACATCTTCCAAGCCTCAGTATATGATATATGTGGATTATATATAACTAATATGTTATCTTATCCTCATCTTCTTATCTATATCTGAAGTAATTATTGTACATCAGGACGATTAAGAGGAGCTTCTACAAGTGAGAATGTAGTTTAGAGGACTACTCAAGAGTTGGGCTGGTTAACATGTGAACATGAGGAGAATTTACTGAAATACATAAACTGTCTTTATAATTATTATTGCTTAACTGTCATATAGCAATGTTTGAACCAATCCCTTTTTCAGTGTCACAAACTATTTATTTTCAGACATATTTTAATTTAATTATTTGCAGAAGTCCCTTTTTATGAATTTGGGCCCCTGCCCCTCTGACATCCTCTGCACGCCCCTGTCTGCACTACTTACAAGGTTTTCAGGAGCGTCAGTGTTTTCCATGAGGGGAGGGACTCCCTTTACCACAGGCTTTGGGCTTTTTGACTTTGCAGAGCTTTTACATTCATAAACGAAATCTAAAAAAATGGGGAAAGAACTGCTCTACTGCTCTGCTCTATTTTGTCAGTTTTGTAGCTGATCTGTTTTCTTCAGCAGTGTAAATGATTCAAGCCTCACAGATATTTCATTCCTGTGTTCCAGATGTGGTGTACGATCCCGACATCGTGGGAAGCCTGGTGACACTCGTGTCCAAGATCCTGAGATGTTCTTCTCCTGAGGTCCTTATCTGCTCCACCATAAGAAACCAGGAGACGTACAGCAGCTTCAAGCAGCAGCTCGGTAAGAGCTTTTATTTTATTTTATTATTTTTATTATTATCAAGATGACATCAGAGTCAAAGACCTGAAGCAGTAAAGTCAGTCTTAGTTTTTCTCTGATGACTAAATTAAAGTTTAAAGTGTTGAATGATAAACTGACTTTATTTGCTTGTGAAAACTTTCTGGTTGCTGTTAACTGTTCTAAACTTTTCTGACTTCAGTGATTGAACTTGTGTTTTGTTTTGTTTTGACAGAAATCGCAGGAATCCGCCATCATGTGATCACAGGACCCGTCAGCCACGTGTTTCCTTACAGCAGATTCTCGTCCATAGAAATGATCAAACTTTACAGATGACAAACATGTAGTGCCATAACGATTTTATTTACAAAAGAACGTCATCGCAGTTTCAAACAATTGAATCAAGGCCGCTTTCACTCCTACCTGGTTTCCCGTTGCTCCAGATTTGCAGTCCGCAAGTATGGGAGGGCTTGTTTGGTGATGGTGGTCTCACCAGGGAATTTATCCTGATCCTAATAAAGGCTATTCTGGTCATTTTGTTGGACCCCACAACAAGAGCCTTGCTCTTGTTCCCTTGTTAAGTGTCACAGGACCAATTTTTGCAGACTTCATTGAGGTTGACCACTCAGATCTTCAGGAGTACCTTCTGGTCTGCTTGTTTGATGTTAGTGTTACAATGTGTAATATTCAACCAGTTTGAAAAAGAACCCTTTATGGTATTGTGCTTTCAATCATTTTCTTAGATTACCTGAAAGTTTTGATTACACACTGTACTTTCAGCCAACACTGTCATATATTTTTTATCCAGTAATGTTCCCTCGACAAAAGTTTTTAGGGAATGTAAAAGAAAATGTTGTTATTGACATTTAAATCATGATCAAGATTTGTGGTGAAACATGACATTGTGTAATTAATGATTTTCGTTGAGGTTGAAGGTGGGTTTATGTCAACGCTCCCCTTCTGTCAATAGATGAACTGCTAATGATTATTATTGAATCTTTTTTTCACATTTATTTTTTAGATTAAAATGTTTAAACAACAACATCAGTAACACCCGCCCTCTAAGTATTGATATTGGCCATTAAAAAAATCATTTCGCTCAATGGCCACTGAACTGTAGTAGAGTTAATGTGCATAAAATACTATGAATTAACTATCGTATTGGATGTAAAAATACAATTGTAAGTGTGACTGATTTAAAATCTAAATTGTATTCATTAATGTTCTAATACTAATGAATAAATGAACTTCACCAGTACATTCTTTATTCACTAGTATGCATGTATTAAATATGTTTTATTGTTTTTTGTTGCTTTGGATGTTTCTGAAAGCAAACGTCTGTGCCATTAGCTTTAACCTTCCCCCTGAGTCATGGTTATGAGAACTTTTTAAGAAATCTGCACCAAGGAATAAAAGAGACAAGGAGGAATGTGTGTTGGTCAGAGGTCAAACAGGAACAGAGCTCCAGGCTCAATTGAGGGTCTTTTATGGGATAACGCTTCCTCCTAGTGGCTGAAATTGAAAATTGCTTTTAAATGGATAGTTCACCGAAAATGAATATTCACTCATTACATACTCACCACTATCCCGATGGAGGGGGTGGGTGAATGTTTGTGTCCACAAAACACTTCTGGAGTCACAGGGGTAAACAGCATTGCAGCTGAATCCAATTCAATTGAGTTCAGTTGTATCATTAGTCATATAAATAACCAACAACAGTAGAGCTGCATCAACCAATCAATAAGTAATCGATTACTAAATGAATTTAGAAATTGTGTGACCTTCTTTTGTTTTTTACTTATTTAAGGTTTGACTGAAAAATGTCCCAAATAGAATATATTATTGTCAACAAATACATTTACAACATTTAACTTTTTTTCCACTTGCATGAGTTAATTTACTGAAGCTTGGATACCATTAAAATAAAAGATACTTAGTTTTAATTATGATTCAGTGTGTCTAAAGTTTGCGGCAATGACACGTTATCTTCGTAGGCTGATTCAGTGCTGGGGGATATTTTGGGAAGACATGATGAAATCCTTTATTTTACAACCATTTACAGAAGTCAGTGCAGAATAATCTCCCTGAGACTTTTTATACAAGCCCTCTCAGTCCTAAATTTGACTCAGATTAAATGATGTGTATTTTAACATCTCAAGAAGATTTTGATAAAAAATGAATTTTAGGATATCTGGGCCTAAAAATGGTTCAGGCGTTTAGATCTGTGGGTATGAAATATAATTTGTGCTTCTATTAAAAACTGCTGGCAACAAAAACTTGACCCTTATCTGGGTCTCTGAGCTGTGTTACATCAGAGCCACTGAGGGAAGCATCAGTAATCCCATATACTGTAACATACTGTGCGTAATCTGTGGTTGCTCTCAATTCTCTGCAGGATGTGATGTGGGACAGAGACGAGGTGACACAGGGTGAACTGAACATGAAGAGGTGACAGAACTCTCGTGGACACGCTTACATTACACACATACACATTATAGGCAAAATAATCAGATCTATTATTACAGACTATGATACGTAAAACTAACTAAAACAAGAAACTGACACATGAGCAGCCGTTGTTTAAATCAGCCCACCACTTGTGTTGCAGTCATTACATCCATGTCGGTCCAGACTCATAAAGTCAATGAAGTGAAGACTTAAAATAGGAATTTAATAAAATAAAATGAAGTGCATGTAATCATAATTAGCATATTCATTCTTGAGCTGACCATAACTTTTATTGAGGTCACATCAAACTTTTACCTTTGACCACCACCACAAAATCAAGAGAGCATGTGTACCAAATTGAAGAAAATATGTTGAGCTGAGATATTCATGAGACGGGTGTATGGATGGACAGATGGACGTTAGGAAGGATATACATTTGTCCAGATGTGTGGACATTTACATGGACAGATGCATGAATGAATGTTTGGACGGATGGATGGAAGTTTGGACAGACTGATGTATGGATGGATGTTTGGACAGACTGATGTATGGATGGATGTTTGGACAGACTGATGTATGGATGGATGTTTGGACAGACTGATGTATGGATGGATGTTTGGACAGACCTGTTAATGGATGGATGTTTGGACAGACTGATGAATGGATGGATGGATTGATGTGGATGGATAATCTGTTGTTAAGAGTGCTGTTCACAAATGAAGGTGAATAGTGCTGAGTGAAGACCCGTAGCTGAATTGAGCGGAGGTCAGTTTTTCAGATAATGGCGGCACCTTCCATTAAGAGGCCTTGAGAGATGGGCGGTATAATCAATAACCACATCTGATTGGTGGAGACGTGTGACATACAATGACATATGACTGGTTTTCAAATTAAGGGTCAGAGGTTAGCGTGTGTTCACAGCACTGCAGAGAACGGGAGGACAACAAGGACAAGATGCTTTGTTGGATTGTGCAGGAACGAAAACAAGAAGAAAATTAGTTGAATCCGTTTTCAGTCAGATGATCTCCACAGATCTTCCAGTGGGATGATCAGAGACAGCAGATGAAGAACTTTCAGAGAGCAGAGTGGTGCAGCGTCAACACACCAGAAAGCAAAACATTTGTTATTGATCTTATTGATCCAGTGATGCTTAAATGTGAGAAGTGCTGCAGCCAGAGGGTCCACTCATGAACCAGTCAAGTAAAACAAACTTGGACTCAACAAAAAGTGACTCCTGGGTCTGAGCTGATTTACTGTATAGTCAGGTTGTCGATGGACTGAGTGAATCTGGAACTCATTAGTTTTGGATCTTTCACAAACAAAAACATGACTCAGGGGGAAACCCTGACCTGCACGTCAGCTCAAAGTAATCACAGACTGGTTCCAGATAAAATTCAAAACCTCCTCCTCTGACCTTTCATTAACTTCACTTAAAAACTGTAAAAATGGAAAATGATTTGGTTTAGAAGTAAACAAAAAGAAAATCAGTAATGTTGCAATTATAGATCTGTGAGTAAGAAAAGAAACATGATCACATGCTTTAATTTTTTTGATTTTGATTAATCAGCAACATAACATTTCAAATGTGATGCATTCAGTGACACATATGGTGTCTGGACACTTGTACAGCTTAAACAAGAGCCTTACTCCTTAATACCTTTTTAGGGAGTAAAAACAAATACAAAAACACAAATACAAGCAAATATATAGATCAATAAAAAAAATTGAAATTCAACTAAATACTGCACATTCAACCACCAGGGCGAAGCCTCAGTTATTCTTCATTCTGCCCAACAGCAGAACGTCTCTTTTGTTAAGTCTGCCCACCACACACCTAAAGCCCGGCACATCACGTTCCCACACCAAAGCTAGCATCGCAACCACATTTAAATCGAACATTCTCTTTTGTGACTTACTGAGAGAAATAACCATATCTTAATAGTCGGAGAAACATGAATATGTTTCTTTAAAAAAAGTATCTTATTTAGTTTTACTCAACAATTATGGGCAGGGTTGCTAGGTCTGTGTGACAAAACCAGTGCAATAGCCAATCAAAACTAAACAAAACAAGTCCAAAAAACCATCCAGAACTCAAAATATAATGCTCCAATAACAGATACACTGCCTTTTTACACAGCATTATTGCCATAGTATGTTGTAATATGAGAGCATAACAAGCACACATGTTTAGTGCGCCAGCATGAACCTACACAGTTCTTTAACTGGGGTCCTGAAATGACTTTGTATACAGTGTATTAGCGCAGGGTTTTGAGAAAAAGCATCACAAAATCTGAATGTGAAATCGATAAATCCTGCTGTCAAACTGAAAGACCACATTCTTGAATAAAAAGAGAAAAAAACCTCAATACATTTTATCGTTGACTCGAACTAGAGATTGAGACATAAACTCCTGAGGAAAATGTTTGCAGACCGTATAAATCAAATGATTTATCAGAGACTTCTACAGAAGCTCCCTTCTTCCAACGGGTAGAGTCGCCCTGTGTTGGTCATTTGAGAGAGTACAGCGTTCAGACTCTTGGGAATTGACTGGATCCGGAGTCTACGTCCATTTTTCATTACAGTCAGTGGTTCACACATCTTAAGGCAACGAAAAGTTCTGGTCCAGATATATCAACTGCACGGCTGCCTGTAGAATGCAGCTCTCAGTCTTACCTGCACTCAGCTGGTTTGAAACAGGCTAATTGCATCATTTTTCACCGGTGACGCACCCTGACTGAGCCGTTTGGGGTTCCTGGATCCAAAACCATAGCACTCAGCAGAGAAAGTGATCAGACTTTTATTAGATACATCTTGATGGTGAGCTTTAACTCGACAGCTTGAGGTTTTCACAGAATGAAACACCACGAGAGTGAATTTTCATGAACTCACTGCTCTGGAGGTCGATTTGTCAGCTGCAGTGAACACATCCCCCTGTATGCAGGGTGATGTAGTAGTTGATGCAGACACATTTTTTCTAATATACTCTGAAAGGTTAATTTTGTGCAATGTTTTTCCAGAATATATTAGAGTCAGAACTCAGAGGGTAAAAAGGGCAACTGCCACATGTCCTGTGCTGCTTCTTCTCATCTCTTGGATGTCTTGATTCACCTCCTCTTCATCCTTTCTCCTGTTTCTTTTCTCCAGCAGCCGTTTCAGACTCATGGAGAGAGTCAGTCAGTGTGAGGATGCTGCAGCTCTGGGTCGTGTAAGTACAAATAAATCCGAGGCTTAATCTCCAGTGCTCCCAGGGGAAGGAGGATGAACAACAAACTGCCTTCAAAACTCCCCTTAATTTTCAAAACTTAATGTGCGTGAGTTGGAAGATGCTTCACAAACTGTCCCACAGTTTCTCTCTGCTGACTCAAAGTCCATGTGCAGCCACAGCAAAGCCAAAATGCAACCAAAGTGGAAGAAGTGTGGTCAACAGTATTGCCAGATGGGAAATATTGAAGTATCTTTCCAGAGATGAGAATATTATCACAAAAACAAATCATATCCAAGAAAACAATACACAATAAATACAGTCAATCTGTCTAGTCATCTGTCTGTATGTCCATCTAGCTAATTCCAGGAATCTCTGTCTGTCTGTATGTGGAGGACTATTCATCTAATCCGCTTCACACTAGGCCTGTGTAATGTTAAGGGCTTGAAGAAGTGCAGTGTCGAATTTGGTGCATTTTGGACATATGACACGTCAGTGGTGTCGGGACCTTAACAGACATTCTGTAGACCACATTTGAAAGTGTCTTCTACCTTCTCGGACAAAGTACAACAGTGGTTGGCAGCCCACTGGCCATACATTATGTCTATTTCACCATATCGGACTCACACAGGCATTCACAGGTATAGAGGTTCTGATCTCTGTCATGTCAATAATCACTTCCTGTTTGTTTCTCTGTTGTAAAAACACAACTTTGGTTTTGTTGCAGCAATTTCGAGCTGAGTTACAGAGATTTCCT